AACAATTGAACTAATGGACATAGAGTAGTAGGATGCTAACCAGAGGATGGGATGTGTATTTAGGGGTTGGAAGGATGGTGGGGAAAGTTTGGTTACATAAAATAGAACAAATGAGTAAGACCTACTATTTGATAGCAAAATAGAGTGACTGCAGCCAATAATAACATAAGTGTACATTTCAAAGTAACCAAAAGAATACTATTGGGTTGTTTGTAACATGAAGGATAAATGCTTGAAGGGATGAATACCTCATTCTTCATGATGTGATTATTCCTTATTGCATGCATGTATTAAAACATCTCACGTACCCCATAAATATATGTATCTACTCTGTACTCACAAAAATTAATAACAAAAAATAATTTAAAAGAAAAAATTAAAATGTTGAGCACTGTAGAAAATTTCTGACTCCTCAGAAATTTTGATTTTAAAGTGTCAATTTTATTTTGTCAGGCTGGACATTACCTCAGGATATCTTTTCAATATGCCAGGTATAGAATACATTTTTGGGGTGGCATGAAGAACAATTTTCTTCAAAAGGTGCAGAACAAGGACAATGGTCTTTATATCCCTATGACTAGCCCAGTGCTTGAGACAGAATATGTGCTCACTTAAGAGTTATTGAGAGACTTGATGGTCTTTGACAGCTTACTTCTGCTTAAAGCACCCTATTTCTTGGCTAATCCTGCATATTAAACCAAGACCTTTGTTCTTAGGCGCTAGTATTCTCCCAGTGGTAATAGAATCAGAAAGAAAAACCAGGGTAGTTCAAGGCAGGATAGCCCCACCACACAGAGTTTTACACTGTGGAATTGTAAGTCTGGTTGGCTTTAATCATAATATTACCTAAAGTTTTAAAAAATCATAGTATCTTTAAAGGTGAGGATTACACAATCATAGCATAGTTTTTAAATGACATTCGTTGTTCCAATGTACTCATTCTACAGCTAGGGGATCTGAAGACTACAGAGAGTATGCAATTTACCCAGAGTAGCAGAAAAAATATGAGATTTAGGGCAGAATGAACCCAGGTTTGAACACTGTTTCACAATTATTGAGTTATTGAGCTTCTCTGGGCCTCAGTTTCCTTATCAGTAAATCAGATCCCCGTGATGATATCTGCCTCCTGGGACTGCTGTGAGTATTGCATCTCTGCTGAACATCTTCCCTCTGCCTTTCCAGATCCACTCACCACCATTCTTCACCTGTGCTATTCTGAGAGGCTATTTAGGAAGGATTCTCTCAATGGGCTCCTGAACTCTCTGGTGTCCACTGGGTTTGGCTAATGAAAAGCCCCAAGGAGAGCTGGAGGTAGGAGGGAGAAAGGAAGGAGAGTGAGGACTGTGGACCTATTCTCCTGGCTCCCTCCCTGTGAATCATCCCGGGCTGGATGAGTCTCTTGGTAGAGGTCACTGTTCCTCTAGAAATAGTCATTTCCTCATGATTATTGATCTTTCCAGGTTCTAGTAACCACTTCCTTCCTGCTCTCATTCCTTTGGGTCTGGAGTGATGGCAGTTACTACTAGCACTATCTCTGATGGTCTCCCCACATCTGTCTGTAAGTAATTCCTTTGCAGACAAATATTTGTCAAATTATTCCATTTTGCATGTACCATCTGTTTCCTGTTTGACCTAGAATGATTATACCAGAGCCTGGCATATAGTAGGTTCTTGGTGTATGGAATCTATTGCCAGTAGTATTAATAGTAGTGTACAGGTAGTAGTCGTTGAAGTGGAGGTAATAGTGCTGGTATTTTTCAAAGTCACTCATCCATTCACATGCAAAGCCAGTAGTAGGATGTATTCCTCTCCCATACTCAACTCTTTTTCATTGATTGCTATTCAACTGTCTGTGCTCCAGAGGGAAATATATGGTTGGCCTCTAACACCTTGCTGTTTGTGGCCACAGAATGGGGCAAATCCCAGGAAGATCCTATCCTATACCACATTACACTATTAAAACCTGCCTTAGACAGCTTAAAATGTGTAAAAAAATCATTAAAATGTAGTTGATGGTTATTATTATAACTAAACTAGTATCACTTTATAATATCATTTGTACAAAGGCCCCAAAACAAGAGCTGAAAAGGTTTCCAGGAGTCCCTGGTTCTCATCCTGGTTCATTTCTGACTTATAGCATGACATAGGCAAGTCACTTTGAGTAGTTCCTCAACTTAATATGATAAAGAAGAATATTCTTGAAGACTGAAAACATCAGAAATAAAAAAGTTCAATACAGGCCGGGCGCGGTGGCTCAAGCCTGTAATCCCAGCACTTTGGGAGGCCGAGACGGGTGGATCACGAGGTCAGGAGATCAAGACCATCCTGGCTAACACGGTGAAACCCCGTCTCTACTAAAAAATACAAAAATCTAGTCGGGCGTGGTGGCGGGCACCTGGAGTCCCAGCTACTCCGGAGGCTGAGGCAGGAGAATGGTGTAAACCCGGGAGGCGGAGCTTGCAGTGAGCTGAGATCCGGCCACTACACTCCAGCCTGGGCGACAGAGCGAGACTCCGTCTCAAAAAAAAAAAAAAAAAAAAAAAAAGTTCAATACAATGAACTTATTGTACACTGATGGCCTTTAATTTTTTATTATTCCTTTTGGTGGAAAATATAACATCATCACTAAAGATTTCAATAGGAGTTATTTTATAAAGTCAGTTGTAATCTTTCCATAGAAATATGCACTGAATGTGTTCCTAACATTTTGATAAATTTTCATTGGATAGTGATATACCCATCAAAACATTTTTTGATAAACAAATTTAGAAAACAATTATAAAAGGTAATAAGGTAATTGAAATCTATTATTTTCAGCAATTTTAATCAGTTTTTGACCTACCCTATTTTATGTGGTATGCCTTTTGGTTTTTGTTTATTTGTTCAGTTTTTTTTTAATAACATGACAAGTCAGGGTGATGTTCTCACTGTTAATTGCAGGCAAGAGTCCAAAAAAAAATTAAATCCTTTGAAGTTAGCTTGTTAGTATTTAATAAATAAAATTGTTAATCTCTAGACCACATCTGGGTTTCACTAAGAAAAATGTATACCTTAATAACAATGTTCTTTTGGTTTCTTCGCTTTTAGATGGCACTCATGGGAATGCTATAAATTGGTTGTGTTTGGAGTTCAGCAGGGTACTTTGCTAGGACTTTCTTGATTTTATGGTATATGAAATAAAGATATGTGAGCTCAATGAGCACTGAAACAAAAATCTAGGGTCTACTGCTCTTTCATTTTATTTTATTTTTCCTATTATTGATTTTTGTGACTTCCTATAGAGAATTAGACAGGTGTCAACATGTGAGAGAAATCTAGGACCATACCTCCTGTATCTTTGGCCCTCTCTCTTTTAAAATATTTTTATCTTTTTATTTTGAAACAATTTTAAGTTCTCAAGAAGCTTCAAAGATATGTACATAGAGACCTTATGTATCCTTCAACCAGCCTCTCCCAATGGTAAAATCTTCAGTACACCACCACGTTACACTATCAAAACTAGAACATTGACAGTGATGCAATCCAGAGCTTTTTAAGATTCAACACTTTTCTTTTGGCTGTTCTAGGCCCATTACATTTCCATATGAATATTATAATTATCCTGTCAATTTCTATTAAGAAACCTTTTTAGAATTTTTATTAGGTTTGAGTTGAATCTACAGATGAATTTGGAAATAACTGACATCTTACAATATTGAATCTTCTAACCGAAAATCAGAGCATACATCTCGATTTTTCCTTATGTTATTAATTTATCATTGCAATTTTTGTAGTTTTAACTGTACAAGTAAGTCATTTACATTTTTGTTCAGATTTATCCTAAAGCCTTTAATTTTTTTGTGATATTTTAAATTGCACTGTTCTTAATTTCAAATTCTGGTTGTTGAAATTAACTACCAGTCCACCCTAGGACTACCATTGGCTGAAACACTGACTGTTCTAATATATAAACTTCTAATATATAACTTCTAACATATAAACATACAATTGATTTGTGTGTTGATCTCCTATCCTGCAATCTTGCTAATCTCAATTATTATAGAAGCCTTTTTTTTTAAGATTGATTTTTCTACACAGGCTCTCATGTAGTCTTTGATGAAGGATAATTTTACTTCTCCCCTTCCACACTAAATGCCTTTTTTTTCTTTTGCACTGGATACAATCTCCATTACAAAATTTAACAATGCCCACACTGGTGCACATGTTGGTGTTAGATAGTATTCTGCATGTAAACACTCAGAACAATTTGCAGTATATGTATACCCACTCCTCCCCCAACCCTACACACTGGTAAAATCCATGTTGGGAGACTACATTTGCTATGAACATACACCCCTGAGTTGAAACAAGACTAGGATACCCAGTAAGAATGTTTATTCACTGAAGTTCTGGCAGACTGAAGGCCATGATTTCAGACTAGAAATAGAAAACTTAAGAGGACCCCATGGACACTGGAAAAAAGAACATGGATTGAAATTTGCCTGGCAGAAACCTGAAAGTTAATGGTCTTCAAGGTGAATATGAAGGAACTGTAGGAGGGAAGTGGGATAATTCACATCTCCACCAATAACTAAATGTAGCTACACTAGCTTGGAGGGATTTGAGGTGAGACATGTAAAATACTAGGGCATGGTGGGTGCTGGAAGACAAAAGAATGAATCACTTACTAGGAATGGCTGTGGGGAAGGGCTTGAAGGAACCATCCTCTCGCTTCCATGTGAGCCATGAACATTAAACATGGAGAAATGAGGAGCGGCGGCAGATCCATTTGGGATGCATCGTCTTCAGGGGATGCCGAAACAACAACAACATTTGGTTTCCTCTACACCACTTTCACCTCCCCCGCAAGCCCAGGGAGTGGGCAGCAGTGGTGCTTTGTGATGCCAAAGCCACCCCAGGACTGCCATTGGCTGGGACGCTGCCTGTATGATCAAACAAAGCTCAAGGGTGTGGCTTTGTTTTGCTCTCAGGTGGGTATATATACAGGGTGGGCAAAAGCTCTGGGACAGCCCACTGGAAAGCTTCAATACAGCTGTGGAAATCTGCACCCTAGAAGAGTCTAGTGTAGAAATTCTCCAACCAACCATAATCATGGAAGAGCCAACTTCAAGCACCAAAGAGAATAAAATGAAAAGCCCCTGTGAATCCAACAACAGAAAAGTTGACAAGGTCAGATTGTTAGGTTTTCAAGGGAAGGCAAGGGTGAAAGAAAGACACACAGATAGGGGGCGGGTCAAACAGCAACACGGGTATACTGCAGACATCGGCAGAAATGGGGGAGCAGCTTAATGCCAGAGCCCACCGCTGCATACAGGCTGGCGTACTTACAGGTATGGGTGGGAGAGGTTTGGGCAGTATGGCTTCCTGCCTGGCAGAATATTGACAAGATGTTATTATGATCAGGCAGTTTGGCCCTTTCTCTGGTGGGATGTCACCATGGTGTTGCTTGGACCTTTAGGCCCAACAAGATATGATAGGGATGTTTCTTTAGTTGGGCTTTTATCTACCTTGTGGTCAGGCGGTTAGGTGGGATTTTTCTCAAGGCCAGAACCCCCGTGGAATGTTTCACTTTGACCAAGGTCTGCAAAATAGCAGGGGGCTTACTAAATAGTGCAGTTTGGACTCGCATTCTTTGCCTTCTACTTTAGTATAAAAGGAAGAGGGGCGTTGTTGAGTATCTGGCTGCCTCCTGCTGAATAGGGGAGCTGTAATCAGGGTTTGGGTCTTGAAGCAGTGGGTGTTGGACTTCATAGTTGTTTTCCTGGGGGCACTGGTACTGGACTTGGTAGAGGAGAAGGATGGTATTAATGTGTTGCTGGGTGGCTGCCTGGACAGGGGAGTTTGGCCTTCGGGGGATAAAGCGGGATATGAAGGTGAGTATACATGGGCCAATTGTAGTATCAGGAGTAGGAAGATTAAGGGCCCTAAGAAAGGGGCCACCTGCTACCCCAGTGCTGAGTGCAGCAGAGATGTTTAGTTCTGCTAACACTAGAATGAGATGTAGAGCCTGCTTAGTGTGTGTGGAGGAAGATGAGACAGAAGCTACTAAAGGAACCTGGATGGTCTGCTTGTTAGGCAAAATGTCAATGTCTAGACTGAAACACCAGGGTGCATGTTCCTGACCAATTGGCCAGTAGGCAGAGATAAGAGTTTGTGCCACAAAGGAAGAAGACACTGGGGGTGGACAGACAAAAGTTGTAGGTCATGGTGGCAAGCCATGAGAAGGTGGGTGTTGAATTGTGCACAAACCCTTTGTTTTAACTTTTATGTTTTTCCAAGTTGAATAGCTGCCAGCAAGGGTAGCCACTCCGAAGGCCTGAGAGAAAATGCTGGTGGGGGAGGAGGTGAAGGTTGCTTTTGGAGAGAGAGAGATAAGTGGGTTTTTGTAACTAATAGTCATTGCGGTCCTGATAGGGCAGAAGGATACAGGTTGCAGTTGAGGGAAATGTTTGTGGAATTTTTCCAGGGAGCACCCTTGAGTTGAATACATGGAGAGTGGCACCGTCAGAGAGGGGAGGGTTTGGTAAGAGGTGTTTTATGGAATCCGACTTGTATCATGTTTAGTTAGGAGGCTATGAGGCAAAGGAGGGTGACAGCCCTGTGTGTGACGGTGTGGGTGGATTTGATGGATTGGGGGGAAAAGGTGTTTAGCTGAGCAAGATTATAAACAGGTTTGGGGAATGAGTTGGCTGAGTAGGTGAGATGCAGGTTTATTTTGGACCAGGTTTATGTGGACAGTTTGAAAGGAAGGGCTGTGAACTGCTGGATTTGTGTGGACAAATGAATTGAACTGTTGGAAGAAAGATGGGGGTGTGACTGATTTAAGAAGCAACGTATGAGGCTGATGAAGGGGGCTCAACTGTTAGAGGTTTGGGGTGGGGACTTAGAATATTCCACAGACAAAGAGGACAAAGGAGAAAAAGGAGATTTGAGTAGGAGTGAAATTTTGGAAGGTGCCCTGCAGTCATACCTCCTGCATTAGTGTGAGAAACTGGCAGGACTATCCAGGGACATGGGGAAGGGAAACCAGGAAAGATCTGAAATAAAGTAGGAGGTAAAATATTGGAAATTGGAGACAGAGATTGTTATGCACTAAGGTGTTCTGGGTTGGCAACTTCTGAAATTCTTGTTAAGTGCAGTGAGGTTTGTCCTGTGAGGGAGAGAGAATAATTTGGGAGTGAGGAAATTTCTAGATGTAGATCTGGTGCTCTTTTTAGTTTGGAATGGTGCATTCAGCGTGGAAAGGATGTTAGCTTTGCCACTGTGGGAGTAGTTAGGATAACCTGGTGAGGATCCGTCCACTTAGGTTGGAGACGGGAGGAGGGGGAGTCTGCGACTCAGACCCAGTCCCCTGGTTGTAGGACAGGGAGGAGCGTTCTGAGGATGGACTTTTGGGCTGGGGGGAATAGGACTTAGGCTGAGGGGCTTTGGGGAAATGGCTCATAAATGCATGAGGACCAATAGGAGAAGTGAAGCCTGGGCCATTTTAACCTCTAGGGGGTTTTTTTCTTTTTTTTAAATTACCTGAAGATTAGGGGAGGTAAGGAATATGGAAGGCCCACTTAATGTTTAGAGCCTTTGCCAGCTGTTTGTTAACCTGTGAAACAAATGTTGGCCCATTGTCTGACTGAATTCAAGAGGAGAGTTTAAACCTGTGGATAATATGAGTGAAGAGAACAGAAGTGATGGTGTGTGCCTTTTCGGTGGTTGTAGGAAAAGCTTTTATCCATCCAAAGAATGTATCTACTATTATCAGAAGGTATAGGAATCATTTGTTGGGAGACACGTGGGTGAAGCTGATTTGTTAGTCCTGTCCTGGTGTGTGTCCTCAGGCCTGGTGTATGAGAAAGGAGATGATTTGATAGCTTCCTGAGGGGAAGTTTAAGTGCAAAGGGAAGATGCCTTAGTAATATCTTTGAGATGGGCAGCCACGGTGGAAGAATGTATAGAAGTTTTTAAAAGCCGGAGTAGGGGCAGTAACAAGCATGGAAATGGTTGTGCACATATAAAAGTACAGAAGGTTTTTAATACTTGGGCAAGACACTTTTATCATTGAGGTAGAACCATTTTTTCCCGAATGGCGCCAGCCTGGGCAAGTGGGGTTTATTCCTCCTGGGTATATACAAGTTGTATGCTGGGAAAAATGGGCAATAATGATGAAATTTTAAGGGCTGCCTGCCGGGTTGCTGAATGTGTTCAGAAGTTTCCCTTTGTTATGGCATCAGTAGCTTTTTGGTGTCCCTTTCAGTGGATAATGGTGGCCTTCGGTGGTAGTTTAGCCACCTCCAGCAGCTTGTGTGCAAGTTTCCTATTTCTCATGGGGGTTCCTTTTGTAGTTAGAAAACCCCTTCCCTGCCAGACTAAGGTGTGAGAGTGTAGGATGTGCCACACATATTTGGAATTGGTTTGACTGTTAACTCTCCTTCTATTTGCTAGGGTGAGATCCCGGGTTAGGGCTACTAGCTTTTCTTGTTGAAAGGTAGTATGGAGTGAGAGAGCATTGGATTCTAGGAGTTCATTTTTGGCAATGATGACTTGGACAGCTGCTGGACATGGCTCCCTTAAAGAGCTTCCATTAATGAACCATGTAGGTGTTCCCCTCAAAGGAGCTTTTGAAATATGTTGGAAGCGGGAGGAGAGGGAGTTTAAGAGGTCCAGGCAGGAGTGAGAGAGCTTAGAGTTAGAGTTATTAACAAGGAGGAGGGTGGCTGAGTTGAGAGTTTTATATCTCTTGAAGGTGATTACAGGGTTAGCTATGAGTAAGGCATGTACCTGCTGTAAGCGGGATGATGGGAGGGATAGAAGGGATTGATGGTTTATGACGTCCTGTAGGTTATGAGAAGATGCAACAGTAATGTGTTGGTTGAGAGGGAGTTTCTGTGCCTCTAAGGCCAGCAAGGTGGCCATATCCAAGATTTTTAGTCAGAGTGACCAGCCTTGGATGATAGAGTCCAATTGTTTTGAGAGGTGTGCAATGGCTTCTGGGGCATCGCTGTATGTTTGGCAGAGTAGTTCAAGAGCAAGGCCTTGGGCAGAATGTACATACAAAGTACAGGATGGTGGGATTGGGCAGTCCTAGTGACGGGGCCTTTAAAGGGCATTATTTATTTATTTATTTATTTATTTATTTATTTATTTATTTTTTAAGTGGGAGCTGATGGGGCAAGCTGGGTTCAGGCGTTTTAGGACGGGCCCATGTGAGGCCGTGTAAAGCAGCTTGGCCAGCAAGTCAAAGTTGGGAATGCACAGCTGGAAGTATCCCACAAGGCTCAAGAAGGAGAAGAGGTCCTTTTTGGCGTGGGGAAGGGGCATGTCCTGAATTAGCTCATTTTGTTGGGTTGGGATGGCCCTAGAATTAGAGGTTAGGAGAAACTGAAGGTAAGGAACCTGGGTTTGGGCTATCTGAGCTTTTGTGAGTGAGACCCGATATCCTCAATTATGGAGGAAGTTTAAAACCTTAGTGGTGTGTTGTATTGACAGGTTAAGGGAGGGACTACAGAGAAGGAGGTCATTGACATATTGGAGGAGGGTACCAAAAGGAAGGGAAAGTTCAGCTAGGTCCTTGGTGAGGGCCTGTCTGAATAGGTGGGTGCTATCCTGGAACCCCTGTGGGAGTATGGTCCATGTTAGTTGGGTGAACGTGTGGGTATTAGGATTTGACTACATGAAAGCAAAAAAAATTTGGGGAAGCCAGATTTAAGGGAATAGTGAAAAAGGCATCTTTTAGATCAAATTCAGAGAAGTGTATGGTGGATGGGGCAATATGGGAGAGTAAAGTATATGGGTTGGGGACTGCCTAATGAATTGGTACCATCACCTGGTTAACAACTCCAAGATCCTGGACCAAGAGGTAAGACCCATCTGTCTTTTGGACAACCAGGATAGGGATGGTTGTAGCGAAAGTTGACAGACTTGAGAATTTGAGCTTGTTAAACTTTACAGATAATAGGTTTGAGGGCCCTGAGGCCAGCTGGGTTAAGGGGATATTGAGACTGATGAAGGAAACTGGAGGAGTTTGAAGGGTTATTTTACCTGGGATGTTGTGTGTGGCTATTGTGGGTTTAGAAACGTTCCAAACTTTAGAATTAACAGTAGGTAACAGGGTGGATAATGAAGATGAGGGGGAGGAGAGGGAAGCATTTGGGTGGCAGAGTAAAATAAAAGGAGTAGAATTGTAGGAGCCACATTGCATGGAGTTCTGGAATTTACTTAACATTTCCCACCCCAAGATAGGGATAGGACACTGAAGGATAACCAGGAAGGTGTGGGTGAAGGGGGGTGTTGCATAGATTGTATAATAAAGGACCAGTCTGTTTGTGCCTAGAGGGGATTTCATTGCCTCTCACAATAGAGATAGAGGAACTGAGGAGAGGTCCAGAATATTCTGGTAAAACTGAATAACTATCCACTGTATCCAATAGGAAAGACACGGGCTTACTAGAGACTGAAAGTGTTATCCTGGGTTCTGAGGTGGTGATGGTGGTGTGGGGCGGGGAGAGGGGAGGTGGCGGGTCGGCTCCAGGCCCTGTCAGTCTTCAGTTAGAGGTTATGAAGCGGGATGAAAAGTTTTGCTGAGCACAGTATGACTTTCAGTGTTCCTTGATAACACAGATGGGGCAATGTTTCCTGGGTGTCCTGGGATTAGGGCAGGCTTTTGCCCAGTGTCCCTGTTGGCTGTACTTATAACAGACTCCTAGCAACGACTGTTGCAAGATTGAGGACTTCTGTATGCGTTGGGAAACCTGTTGAATGGCAGCTGCCAACATTTGGTATTTAGTCTGGTCCTTTTTGGATTTTGGGGTTTTCAGTTCTTCCTCTCTATTATTAAAGACCTCAAATGCCACTTCAATTACATGTCTTTGGGAGGTTTGAGGGCCATCCTCTAGTTTTTTAAGTTTCTTTTGGATGTTGGGGGCTGACTGGGAGATAAAGTGTAAATGAAGGTGGATTTTGCCCTTATTGGTATTAGGGCTTTAGGTGGTATATTTACTTATGGCCTTTGAAAGGCAGGAGAGGAAAAGAGCATGGGCAGCTTTATTTATGCCAGCTACAAGGCATGATATCATATGGCCTTGTTTCTGTCTGTCCACAGAAATTGCCTGATAATTCCAACTGGGGTAAGTCCTTGGGACAGCTAGGGTCCCTATTGGGTTATGGGCAGCATCTTGTTGGTGGAGGGTGTTTGCATTGGCTTGGACAGCCATCAAAGTGTATTCAGCCATCCAGATGCATTCCCTGTCTTCTGGGGAGAGGGTGGAGGAGAGTATTAAATATATTTCTTTCCAGGTAAGGTCATAAGATTGAGTGGCATAAAAAAATTCCTTGTGGAAAGAGGTGGGATCTTTGGAAAAGGAGCCAAGTCTCTTTTTGATATGGGAGAAGCTGGCTAGAGAGATGGGAACATGATCTCAGATTATGCCTTTGTCCCTCACAATCTCCTGCAGGGGAAGGGTTTTGGAAGGCCTTTGGGTGTGTGACTGGTTGTCAGCACTAGGGGGGTGGGTGTGAGACCTGGTTTGTGGTGAAGAACAAAGGGCAGATGGAGGGCGATAGGAAGAAGGTGGAGGAGCCAGAGCCAAAGGAGAAGGAGGAAATGGTGTTGGGAGGGGGACCTCGAGAGGGGTTTTTTTTACCAGGTTGAAATTAGAGGAGAAAGGCTTGTCCTGAGGAGGAGGCATTTTTGCGGGTTTTTAGTTGAGGAAGAGGATTTGAAAAGGTGAACAAGATTGGCAGAGAGAGAGAGCAACCCATGAACAGAGATAAGCAAAGTGCTTTCGATCCTTTACCATTGCATTAGAGAAAGTTTTTTAGATTATATTCAATTTGGAAGTTGAAAGTTTTGTTATCTGAAGGGAATGAGTATCTCCAGAGGGTAGTGAATACCCCAAAGGGAAGCGAGTACCTCAGAAGGGAGTTAATATCCCAGAAAAGAGCAAGTACCCAGAAGGGGAGTGAATACCCTGGAGAAAAGTGAGTACCCAATTCCTCCCAGGAGAATGGATGTAGGAGAGCTGGGATGTACCGAAGAGCTGTGGCAGCTCTTCACAGTCCCCTGGTGGCCAGAGCAGCTGGAATGGCAAGCATTCTGAAGGCATCCCCTGAGAAGGCAGGCTGTGGTCACCTGGTGACCAGGGAGACCTCCAATCCAGGGCTAGGATTTTCTGGAGAACCAGCAGAAATAGAGAAAAATCTGGAAAGGAGGAAAAGGGAGACTCACACACTAACTGGAGACTGGTGTTGGATGTAAGGTCTAGCAATGGGGGTGATCCTTCCTGGAGCCACCCAGAAAGGGGAAGGAAGCAAAGAGGACGGTGAGTTTGATCAGGACCTAGAGGTCAGCCCAGGACTGGAGATGATGAGACAATAAGGAGAACTGGGCTGGAAACAGGTAGTCCACTCAGGATATGGAAACAGGCTCAGGTCTAGTTTTTGCTGCTTGCTGCTTTCCAGTATGCAAAAGAAGACTTACCTGGTAGAACTCAATCCCCATCCCAGGTTTTGGCACCAAAATGTTAGGTTTTGAAAGGAAGGCAAGGGTTAAAGAAAGACACACAAAGAGGGGACCACTAAAACACCTACACAGGTATATTGCTGACAGCTGCAGAAGTGGGGGACCAGCTTAATGCCACAGCCCACTACCACTTACAGGCTGGGGTACTTACAGGTATGGGTGGGAGGGAGCTGGGCAGTATGGGATGCTGCCTGGCAGGATATTAAGATATTCTTATGATCAGGTGGTTTGACCCTTTTTCCTGTGGGATGCCATTGTGGTATTTCTTGGACCTTTGCCCAGCAAGATATGATAGGAATGTTTCTTAGTTGGGCCTTTGTCCATCTTGTAGTCAAGTGGTTAGGCAGGATGTTTCTCACAGCCTGAACCCCTACAGAATGTTTCACTTTGACCAAGGTCTGTGAAATAGCAGGGAGCTTACAAAATCGTGCAGTTTGGAGTAACACAGATGACCCTACCCATGCTCCTCTTCTTCCCCATAGATCCCTACCCAGATTCCACCTTGTTCTTCTCAGACACAAGCCCCTTCCTCAACCTGCATTCCTTCTTATAAAACCCCCCTTGCTATCTATTCTCTACCCTCTTCACCCAAAATAACGCCTTTCTGGCCTCTCCCTGTTTTTTTTTTTTTTTTTAACCAGAAGAAGAAGCATCTGGACAGAGCCTCAGCCCCTGAACAGAGTTTGAAAGAGACAGTAAAAGCAAAATATCCAACATTAGTGTTTTACTACAGGAAGAATAAGAAAAGAAATTCAAATCAACTGGAGAATAAAGAGCCCACCGAGAACTCCACTGATCCGATCAAAGAGAAAGGAGACCTAAACATATCTGCAGGATCTCCACAGGAGGGTGGGGAGAATTAGTCCAACATAGAGAAACCAAATTGGACAAATCATTGTCACTGATGGCAATGATTACAATAAAATCAGTTTGAGGAGCTGATGACTGTGTATACCTCTGCCTTTTTTTCTAATGGTGGGGAGGAAGGGAAGGGAAAAGATAGGCATTTGAGAACAGAGGGATATGAGATCCTGTAGCACTGGCAGACAGATCCACAGGTTAGGCAGACATTGTAAATAAGGACTGGCCAGGGGAGACTGATTCCTGGAGACAGATTTTCTTCTGAAAATTTTATCTCACAGGGGAGGAAGAAAAGGATTTGGTGTTCCTTGGAGCATGTGCATATTTAGAAGAGCACATAAAAAGATCTGTATTGTATGTGGGTGACAGTGACACTCTTTCCAAAATGAAGACATCAAAATCACCACCTTCAGGCCACATACCTCAGAGTGGTGTGTTTTATAACTCACCCAATGCTGTGAGCAGCTGAAGGTCCTCAAAAGGACCAAGAACCTCACCCTACAGAAAGTAAGAGAGCATGCCATACACAATAAAATAATGGTGTTTGGAGGACATGGTCCCAATACTAGGTCCCAATACTAGGGCACTTGATAAGAAACTCTAGGTGGAGCAGTCACCTACCAAGTGTGGGGCACTGGGAGTGGCCTGTGTCTACTGTAGGCAACAAACAGAAGCATTGTCTACAGAAAATTTCAATACAAGAATTCAAGTAAAAGCTGGTATTTTTATTACCATTTCCATACACCAGCATTTCTAGAGAATGTCAGTGATTAAGAATTCTTCCCCTAGAGGCAGAGCTTGCAGTGAGCCGAGATCGCACCACTGCACTCCAGCCTGGGTGACAGAGCAAGACTCTGTCTCAAAAAAAAAAAAAAAAAAAAAAAAAGAAAAGAAATTCTTCCCCTAAAATAAAATATCGTTTTTATTGGTGGAAATACAATAGAGTGGTTTTGGCATCAATGTAGAGGGCTGAGTTGCATTCCTTGAGTTAACGGCTCAAGACACTCTCCTGTTTATTCACTCATTCACTCTCCTTTATTTCCATGGCCCAGTTTTATTCCTCTTGTCTTCATTGGCAATCATTGTAATGCATTTGATGTATATCCTTTTCTTTGTATGACTGTCAATATACTTTATTGTTTGTGGACATTTGTTTTTAATGTATATATCCATTGTCAATATTTAATGTTTCACTCAGGCCTATATTTAAGATGCATCTATGTATGTCTAATCTGTTCCTCCCTTGTCGGATATATTTTTATATTATATAAATTTAAGAAAGATATTTGGATTTTTAATATTTGTACCCACCTTCTGGTCCATGTTTTGTTGAATTTCTACCTTAGTATTACATTTTCTTTTGAGTGACTGTAAATAGTGTCATGTGTTTAATTTTGATTTCCACATGTTCAATGTTAGTATATAGAAATGTGATGGATTTTTAATGTTTTAAAGAAATTTTATTTGGTATATTTCAGGTTTACAACATGTTATTATGGGATGTATACATATATATATATATATATATATAAAGTAAAATGGTTACAGTGGTAAAAATGATTAGCATATCTCTCTTCTCACATTTTTAAGTGTGTAACAATAGCAGCTAAACTCTACTTATTTAAAAAAAAGTTAGTGATATAATTCATTAGCTTTAGTCTCCCTGTACATTAGATCACTATACTTGTTCATCCTACATATCTGATCTTTTGTATCCTTTGACTTACATCTCCCCATTTCTTCTCCAATCCCCAATGTTTCATTCTCTACCTCTATCTATTGAACCCCTTATTTATATAGTCTACATATGAGGTCATATAATCTTTTTCTTTCTGTCTGGATTATTTAACTAAGTGTGATGTCCTCCTGGTCCATCCATGTTCTGGAAAATGCCAAGATCTTTTTTTTTAAGTGGAGGAAGGTTGTTAAAGAGCAGATGGATGGTAACCAAAAGAAGGGATAATGAAAATCTTTCTTCTGGCTCTTTTCTAACTTTGTCTTCAGGACCTAGGCATATTCTAACGTCCAAAATTTCTCTTCCAAAATCTGTTGTCACTACAGGTGTCCATCTTGGAAAAAGCCTAACATAATATGGACATGGCCCTTGATTTCTATAGAAAAATCTCATAGATCCTCACTCTGAATCAGGGAGTATGAGAAGCCCTATTATATCTCTTTTCCTTTGGTTCACCAATCATTGATAAACATTTTTCTGTTCTAGATAGAACTTCCATAATTCCCAAGTACACTCTGGCATTTATATTCATTTATTTGTATGTGGATGTCCAGTTGTCCAAGCATCATTTGTTGAAAATATAATTCATTGAATTACTGTGACATCCTTTTCTATGTTCAATTGACCATAGCTTTATCAGTTTATTCCTGTTCTCTAAATTTTATTCTGTCAATTAGTACGTTTAAAAGTATCTAAGCAGTATGCTTTCTTGAATGCTATGGCTTTGTGGTAAGTTTTGAAATAGGAAAGGGAGAGTCATTCAACTTTGCTTTTCTTTTACAATATTGGTTTGGCTGTTCTAGGCCCTTTAAATGTACATGGGTTTTAAGATAAGCTTGTCAATATTTGCAAAAAATGCAGGTGGGATCTTGATTGGGCGTACATTGAATCTGTACCTCGATTTGGGGAATATTGAAGTCACACTTTATCTCTAAGATCTTTCATTGCTAGGGTGCTCCAGAGTTCAGTCCTTAGACATACCCTTTTATCCTTCTGCGCTTTTATCCTTTACTGCTTTAAATGACATCTATATGCATATGACAACCAAAATTATATCTTCACTCTAAATCTCTCCCTGAAGCCCAAGCTCACTAGTTTATGCATTCATCTGAGTACTTAATAAACATTCCAAAATTAATGTAGTCAATGATAATTTTACAAGAAACAATAACATTGTGCTTATCACATTCAAGGTACTCTTTTTAAGACCATATGTAACCTGATGAGGCGATTATCATTTTTCCCTTCAAAAAAAATGAGATAAACACTAGATACATAAATGACTAAGTTCACATAGAAAGTGTCAGAATCCAAGATTTGAACCAGTCATGCTGAACCCAGAGCCTACACACTTCACAATACCTCATATCATTTCTTCTAATTAGAGCATATGCTTTCTCTATCTACATACTTATCTTCTCCTTTTTCTTGGAAAATAAATTTCTTGGGGAGAATTCTTCTCTTAGCCATTTCTGTAATAACATAAATTATATGAATAAAAGAACATAATAATGAATGCCTGCAGTTTCTCACTCGCCCAGCTTGACTACGTTCTCAGACTATACTGTTGAGTCGCCTTAAGGGAGTTAGTATGAGGAAGTTAGTGTTTATACTTTATCAGTGGAAACTGCTGTTTATCAATTCCTAACCACTTCCTGGATGTTTTCTCTATTGCTATGGTTAGGCTTTGTGTCCCCACTCAGATCTCATCTTGGATTATAATTCCCGTAATCCCCATAATCTCCATGTGTCAAGAAAGAGACCATGTGGTGGTAATTAGATCGTGGGGGCAGTTTCCTCCATGCTGCTCTCATGATAGTGAGTGAGTTCTCAGGAGATCTGGTGATTTTATAAGTACTTGGTAGTTCCTCATGCATTCATTCTCCTTTCTGTTGCCTTGTGAAGAAGGTACCTTGCTTTCCCTTCTCCTTCCACCATGATTCTAAGTTTCCTGAGGCCTGCAAAACCATGCTGAACTGTGAGTCAATTAAACCTCTTATTTTTTAAATAAATTACCCAGTCTCAGGCAGTTCTTTATAGCAGTGTGTAAGTGGACTGATGCATCTCTAGAATCTGTAGCGATCTTAAAATAAACAGAAGAAAATAATAGACTTTCAATAGCGGTTCAACACATAATGAATCCCAGTTGATTCTGATGTGAAGTGCTAGAACTCAGGTCTTTACATGATATCTGTAACTACTTACACTCTGATCTCCTTTTTTTCTTTGAAAGCACTTGCACTAGTGACATTTGAATCTCTTCATTGTTCTTTTTTTTGAATTGTAAAATCATATAACTGTTGGCTTTCTGAGTGTCTTTCAGTTTCCTATATGTGCCAATGTCTTTTCTACATGGAGACTGTTTCTCATTTTTTCCTCTTTGCCTGGAATTATTTTCTCCCTTCTATACACAGTGCCAGATCGCACCTAAATTATTATTGGTTACATTAATTAATAACCTTAGGTCTTTAGCCCATGGGTACCTCCACACTTGAGTTCCTCTCTGGCCACTTTATGTAAAGTTTTATCCAACACCTCCTGTCCCCATAGCTAACATTTTATATGCCTTCCTGGCATTATTGTTTTCTTGTTAATAATTATCATTCTCAAATATATTTTACTTTCTTCTTCTTGTTTTCAGTTTGCTTTCTCCAGTATATTACAAATTCCATGACAACAATTATCTCAGCCTGTTTTATTCACTACTATATTCTCATGACTTCAGAAAGTGTCTAGCATGTAATAAGTACTTAATAAATATTTGTTGCATTGAGTCTTCAATATACATAATTTATTCAACAAACACTTATTAAGCATTTATTATGTTCCAGGCACTATGCTATGTACTGAGGATATGTTGCAGAACAAGACTGACATTACCACTGCACTTAAACCTGTGAAAAGCAGGTAAGTAAATGGGCATTTGCAATATAAAGTGTTAAGGAAGTAAGACAGGAGTCAGCAAACTGTGGAGGCATATTAGAGGAGCATCTTGTCTAGCCTGTGGCATCAGAGGATGCTTCTGAAATCTGAAGAACTGAGACCTGAAGTTACTGGCGTAGCTTATGTAGATTTCTGTAGTATATTGTCTGAACCAGGGGTCAGTAAATTTTTATCTGTCAACTTTTCTCTATCAAGAGTCAGTTAACAAATATTTTAGGTTTGTGGGTCACATATGGTCCCCATTACAATTAACCAATTTTACCCTTGTTGCAAAAGCAGTCATAAATAATGCATAAACTAATAGCATGGCTCTTTGCCAATACAACTTTAATTGCAAAGAAAGGTGGCAGCACAAACTATCTTTTCATAACTCTCAATATAGCCCCATGGATTT